GATATCATGACAAGGTTATATTCATGGGAATAGAAAATATTGAGAATATCAAAATTTCGATTTTTACTCAATCACTGGAAACTTGAAAACAAACGGCTATAGTCGGCCAATTTCTAGACACACTATGGATTTTGATCATCAACATGACGATTCATATGATTTCCTCTGATACAATGTCCGGCTTGCCATATATAGGGGGAAGACAATTCGGAAGCTTAGAATTGGTATAACTCATGTCTATAAAATGGGATAAATATCACGAATTCTTCAAAACTGTTTATATAGAGTGAGTTTTATGTATGGAACGCCTCAATTATCTCGGAAATAGATTGCACGATTTTAATAGATTTTGGTGTGCAAGGGTCTTGTGGTGCGGTCGATATTATGGTGACATTTACATAGTTGTCAGATATTTCCTTTTTCCGGAATAATAATTGAATTTTTTATTTCGAAAGAATCACCCTGTATATTTTTTGCTTTTTGAAATCCTTGAGAAATACTGATTTTTTTTTACGTCATGTTCTAAATACCTAAATGCCATGATTTCGGAGTTATAGCTACATTTACTTTATCTTCGCCGAAGTTAAAATAATACAATTAGATGGCTATGACTGCTACAATAACAACTTTGACGTTTCAATGGATTAGTATTGTTGGTGTTCAGTGAAAGTCACAATGGATCGTATATCTGAAAAAGAACGAAATGAGATTGAAAAGATATAAGGATATGGTGAAATGCGTAAAAGTCAACAAGAAACGTGTAATATCTCTAATAATTCATATCCTAACCGAAATCCCATAACTAGATCCAGTCATTTAGTGTCAAGTTTAACGAAACTGGCTCAGTGAAAGATTTATCCAAATCAGGACGCAGAAAAACTGCATCAACTGAAAACAAATATTCAGATTTTTGTGTCCTGTCAGAAGAAGATTTACACTTGAGTACTAGACAAATATCCAGGGAACTTGATATTTCGCATACATCAGTTAGGAAAATTTCACGTGAAAATGAATTCTATCCATACAAAATAAGATTAGATCAAGAGTTGTCAGATGATGATTTCGATTGACGTGAAGAGTCTGCAAACATAATGATGCAAAAATGTTGCAATCAGAACGATCCAAATTTTTTAAGTAATAATATGTTTCGCGATGAGGCCACTTTTTTGATCAATGGAAACGTGAATCGGCAGAATTGTAGTTACTGGTCACGTAACAATCCTCGTTGGATGCGTGAATCCCACACTCAATATCCACAAGAGCTGAATGTATGGGCTGGAATAATAGGCGATGAAATAATTGGTCCCTTTTCCATCGAGAAAAACTTGAATGGTCTGGCGTATTTAGATTCATCAGAAAATAGTATAATACCTGGCGAGTTCCAAATCCGAGTAAGTATTTTCAATTACATTTTAATGTTAAAATTTTATTTTTCGAAAATTTCAAACAATAACAATATCCCAAACGACAATATTTGGCTGCAACAAGATGGTGCTCCACCTTACTATGCGCGTGTGGTGAGGCAATACCTAAATAATGTGTTTCCCAGAAGATGGATTGGAAGGCATGGTTTTATCGAATGGCCTCCGCGATCACCCGACATGAATCCTTTAGACTATTTTCTATGGGCTCACTTGAAAAAACATCTCTTATGAAACAAAATTTGCCAATATCCAGGAATTGAAAGATAGGATTACCACAGAGATAAGAATAATTGAGCAGCCAGGGATGTTGCGAAATGTATTGCAAAATTTTCAAAATCGCATGGCTTGTTGTATTGAAGTGAACGGACAACATTTTGAGCATCTGCTGTGATTGCCTTTACTGTTTGTTTTCTGAAATTCCTAATTTTTCTTCAACTCAAATGTCTACATACCTTCAAAATGAAGCAAACATTTAAAGATTTGTCTTCAGTTGCTCTAGGTTTTCTGCGCCATGATTTGAATTAATTTTCCACTGCACCAGTTTCCTCAGACACTTTACTAATTTACCGACAGTAGACCTTGTTATGATATTTCTATCAGGATATGAGTTATCAGAGATTATTCAAATTAAACGAGTTTATTCAATCATAGCCATCTAACTGTATTATTTTACCTTCGGCGAAGATAATGTAAATGTAGCTATAACTCCGAAATCTTGACATTTAGGTATAGAGAACGTAACACAAAATATTCAGTATTTCTTGAGGATTTCAAAAAGCAAAAAATATAAAGAGTAATCCATCCGAAATAACAAAGTTTATAATCATCACGAAAAAAGGGGAGATATGACAACAATGTGAATACCACCATAATATCGTCCGCATCACAAGACCTTTGCTCACCAAAATCTATAAAAATTGTGCAATCCGTTTCCGAGCTTATTGAGGCGTTCCATACATAAAACCCACTCTGTATAATATATTATTATAAAGTGGGGGATGAAATGTCTCATGGAATACCCACACCAACCACCTGAGTCACAACCACACCAAAATATAAATAATACCACTGGAATGCATTTTCATCGAGCTATTCAATGAAGTACCACAAGTAGGGGCTACTATTGAAAAGATATGCGTTGAAGTGGTTGTGACTCAAGAGGTTGGTAAGGTTATTTTATGAGACATTCCATTTCTCACTTTATATAATATGAACCATTCGGCATAAATGTATCTAATTTTATATACATGAGTTATATCAATTCTGAGCTGTCAAATTGCCATAACCCTATATATGGCAAACCGGACATTGTATCAGAGGAAATCCTATGAATTTTCATGTTGATGATCAAGATTAATAGTGTGTCGAATAATTCGCCAGTGATTGAGTAAAATTCGAAATTTTGATATTTTCAATAATTGTCTTTTCCTATGAATATTACCTTGTCATGATGGAATGCAATACCATGTATGTGATATTATCATCTATCCGAATAGAAGGACTCATGATGTAGAAATTAGACGTGGACCGTTTATCTCTACTGGAGATTCATCGCGACTTAGAGCACATAATTCAAATCGATACAAAATATTCTGAACAGCCAAAATCAAATGATTGATACCCTGTAGCTCAAAAACTGGTCATAGGATCGATTAGTAAATTGGACTAATTGATAAGAACGCTAATATCTGAATAATTTCAAATTTTCAGAACAATTAGTCGAAAGCCATTTTCCGCACTAATTGTGAGGGGTCCTTTGTTAACGCCTGCTCAAGTACTTTTTTCGGCATTAGATGATGTTCTGGGAATGAAAATTATATATGCCCTCTTCTCAATGCGTAATGCATCTGGAGCAAAGTATCTGAAATCTTCATAATTCGAGAAATCAGCTTTCTCTTCAAATTTCTTGAATTTTCTTGAGGCCAAATCTCTCTCCTTGAAAATTGATTTTATAGTATCATCGATCCTAGGGATTCTAGGTTTAGTCACTCTAACTCCTCGAACTGGTGCATGAAAATCAAGAAGATCAAGTAGATGAGTAGATTCATTGTTCCAAATTAAACATTCGATTTTTGAAATTATCATCTTTAACATATTTAACAAATAAATATGAATCTCTCGTGCAGCTTCACCATAGTACTATGAGACAGCGGTTTCATGTTATTCACAGGTTATTTTCTTTTGATTTTCTGAAGATTCATACATAGTCACATGTCATTTTCCTAACATTTCCTGCAAATTCAAACATCCCGTTTCATGGTTTGAATGTGATGATTTGTATACCCAAATATTGATCATATTGATAGGTGATGATCGTCATGGTGTGGTTTGACATATTTTGATGAAGTATGAAATAACTTCAATTCAACTAGAAACATTTACTGAGGAAAGTAGTTGAATTCTGTTGAATGAACCGAGAGAGAATTGATATTTCCATCTCATAGAGAATGCGGATTCTCAATGTATTTCTTCAAATATATACATCCATTTTTTTATATCAATAATTATATCTGAGAATATTCCTCTTCAATAATGGGTTCACAGATATAATATTTACTGATATTTCATTCTTGACCTCTCCACTGGTCTCCATCAAACTTGTTGATAATGTTTATGGATAGGTCTGAAACTGATGTGATTTTATTCATCTACTTGCTCTACCACTGCACTTCAAGAAGATATGTCTGTTATACTCCTACTGTCCTTTTTTTCTGAAAACATTGTATCTTTCCTACTATTGATTTTTTCATTCATCCAAATACCATTGATATTTTTTTAATTGAGTGGTGTCCTCTGAACTCGGAATTGATCTATCTGCAAATATTACTAATTCCCTTATCTGTTCTCTGGCGAAGAACTGCCGTTCGCACATGTGACTTTTTGTTCATTCTGATTCATTTGAAATTATTCTATATCAAAAAGTAGGCCACAAAAGCTTGCAGAATGATGACTATACAAGGTGAATTATCTACACCTCTATATCAATTGTAATTCAGGAAGTGAAAAATATCATAAAGAAATAATAAGTTGTTATCTCGAATAATTGATCGAAATTCATTAAAATAACTTTAGTTTCAGAAATGTTGATTGTAATTCAGGAAGCGTGATATGTAATTCAGATGGATGACATCTGATTCAGGAATTGTAACTTTCAATTCAGAATAGTGAAATGTCGATTCAGACTCGATGATTCAGTGAGTTTCACTTCTGTTGCAGAATCCATGCGAAAACGAAGAGTTGCATATAAAAATTAATATTACTGCGTTGAATCGCATCTGGAATTCAATCGGAGAGTAACTTCCGTTTTCTGTATTTCAACCAATGACGTAATCAAAAATCAAATTAATTTCCGAAACCATTTTTTCTTCTTGATATAACTGAAGAACTATCATCAATTTCCAAGATTCTATGATGTGCAACCTCATATTGGTCAAACTGTAGTAATATTAATGAAATTAGGAAAATTATCTGTTACTCAGTTACCCTGCATATATAGTTCAATTCTGTAAATACAAAATCGATTCTATTGAACAAATAATACTATTGTGCATTATTGAAAATAATGCTGTATTTTACCCTCGCATTCCTCCATTCTGGACCTTGCTGTGAAACCAAATGTACTGTAGTTGGATCAGTTTTGATCATATAAATCCCACGGTCCACAAAACTATTGAAGTCCTTGATCAAAACGGTTCTCACATCTTCAGGGTCCAAGATTACTAGATGTGGATCAATCCCAAGAAAAACTCCTGCAACAAATAACCACATATAGGGTGTGTCCCATGCGTGTGATGATACCTGTGGTATTTTCATATAAAACAGTTCCTATGAATATAAGTCGAAAATTATTTCCTGAGAGAGCTGTTAAGCGTTTCTTCAGATACGGTTGGAGATGTTCTTTCCTGATATTTCCGAAACCGTTCATCTCAAAAATCTAGAAACATCGCATACAATTTAAATGCTCAGATCAGATTCAGAATTAATCGAGCAGGTTCTTGGATTGGAATTAGGATCCTCGTGAAGTATGAGAAAACAATATTTGATATTCAAAAACACGCTCTATATGAGCTTGGTATGTATACTTATGACTTTCTCCACCTGCTATTAAAAACAGTGCATTCTCATTGCTCAACTCAATCAGATACCATGTATTGCTCGAACTGTGGAAACAAATTTTTCTCACGGCACTTGGCTCACATCGAATACATTCATTATATGGAGAATGAACAAAAATAGACAGATCTCAGTTGGCTGCTGTTGATCTGTCACCACTTTCAGCAGAAGTTTGTTGAATTATTGTGGTAGTTTTCATTCGTACCTCGGTATGAATAGCAAATTCCATCAATATGGATACTGAGAATATTGACGAGATATTGAAAGAAGCTGCAAATATAATACCTTTTTCGGAAAGTGAATTTTGATATACGAAAGAACTTTGAAGGAGTCCACTCTTTGGTCTCTGGTCACAATATCCAATGTTGCGAAAAACTACCAGTATAAAATGAGAATCAAGTTATATCACTTGTATTCATTGTGTGGCACCCTGTATTCCTGTATTTTGATAGTGAGTTATCTTATGTCAATTTGTTGTCAATTATTGAGAAGTAGAATTGAAACTTGAATAAGTCCAACATCTGGTGACCCCAAAAGAACATGGTTCTACTTATACAAAATATCAAAAAAGAGCAACTGCTCAATGTACTGCAACATTTCAAGTTACCTTCTGGTGGAACGGTATCCGATATGAAACTAACTCTGGAAGGTTTCATGAGAGAAAAGTATCCAGATTTGAAGAATCCAAATGATTTCGATTATTCCGACATACTCGAAGAAATAGAGCAGAATACAAACCATGATAAGGATAATATAGATCGTGAAATGTCGCTCTTGTTAACGAAAGTCAACAATTTGGAATATTTGTGTGTACGTTTTTCAGAGAAACTTGAACATTCGGAAAATTTGATAAAAACATTCATAGAAAATTTTGTGCCAAGAATTGACAATATTGATCAACCATCTACCTCTTCCTCAAACATTTCAAATCAAAATAAAAACCTCGAAATACAATACAATCGCACGAAATCAGTTACCCTACCTGTGTTTTGGAAACATGAACCTGAACTTTGGTTCAATGCGGTGGAAACAGTTTTTGATATCAATGGAGTTCATTCGGAGAAGGTAAAGTTTGGTGAAGTTATTTCAACGTTGGACTGAACATTAGCCAAGGAAAATTCTAATTTATTCAAACTTCAGAATGATCTCAAAACATATCAAATGTTGAAACAACAGCTCATTAAAATGTATCAGATTTCTGCAGAAGAAAAGATGATCAAACTCTTTGCTGAGTGTGAACTAGGTGATAAAAAACCAAGCCCAGAGATGACTGATCTAGCCTCAGGTCAAAAGACCAAACATTTTATTGTATTGGCATGGCTCAAAAAACTTCCACAAACTGTCGAACAACTGATTCGCGCTTTTCAAGAGAAATTATCCGACGATGAACTGATCACCATGGCAGATGGTATGATGAAAGGCATCTATTTCGCAGATCAGGTTAATTCTATTAGAAACTCTTCTCCATCCCAATCCTCATCCCAATCCATCGAGGATAAAATCGATCTTCTCATCGAAAAATTGGACGGAACACTTGATAAAAAAAATTTCCAACGTCGCGATTGGTCAAAATCACGAAGCAGTTCAGAATCAAGATATGGAAAACGAACAAATATTTGCTACTACCATCGCCGATACAAGGAGAATGCTACAAAATGTCTAGAACCTTCTGAATATTCAATGTTGCATCAAAAGGAAAACTCTGAACTCAAATGATATTGGCCACAGAAATTGTCGCCTATTTATCAAAGACCCAGCTACCAAAATTATATTTCTTATTGATACCGGTGCAGATGTATCTGTATAACCGAAAACATCAACAAAGGCTCAACCTTCAGATAAACCATTATATGCAGCAAATGGTTCAAAACTATCTATCTACGGAGAACAAACTCTTAATGTAACCTTAGGTTTGAGAAGACATTTCCTTTGGACATTCGTGATTGCAGACATCGATAATATATCTATAATAGAAGATGATTTCCTTGAACGATATGGCATCTAAGTGGATTTGCATAATAGCAAAATCATCGATAAGGGAACCAAGATATCAAATTCATGTGATTTGTGTATAAATAACATCACACCTACCATCAGAACGATTAATGCGGAATCTCTTTATCACGATATTCTTGCAGAGTTTCCTGGAATAACAAGTTCTTCAATAAATAAATCGACAAATTCTAGCAATATCTTCCATCGAATAATCACCACTGGTCCACCTGTATATTGCAGAGTACGCCGTCTTAACCCTGAAAAATTAGCTGCAGCGAAACAAGAATTTGGGTACCTTCTGGAACAAGGAATAATTCAACCATCGAAGAGTTCTTGGGCAAGTCCGCTTCATATAGTCAGAAAAGCTAACGGAACTCAGCGCCCATGTGGAGATTATCGAATGTTGAACTCGAAAACAGTTCCTGATAGATATCCTCTACCCAATATGAAAGATGTTCCTTTCAATCTAGACACCAAGAAAATATTTTCCAAAATAGATCTTGTCAAAGCGTTTCATCAGATACCCATAGCTCTTGAAGACGTGAAGAAAACTGCTATTATCACTCCATTCGGTCTTTTTGTGTATCTATAAATGCTTTTCGGGTTGCGAAACGCGACTCAAAGTTGCCAACGATTCGTTCACCAAATAACACGAGACCTCGAGTTCTGTTTTCCATATATTGATGATTTCCTGATAGCATCAGAAAATGGAGAAGATCATAAGAGACATCTGAAAATAAAATTTGAGAAGTTACAAAACCATGGCATAGTAATCAATCCTGAGAAGAGTGAATTTGGCAAAGAGAGTATTGAATTTCTTGGTTATAATGTCTCCAAACATGGGATAAAACCAACTAATAGGAAGATTGAAGCCATTTCAAACTATGCCAAGCCAAATGATATGAAATCTTTGAGACGTTTTCTTGGTATGGTAAATTTCTATCGCACAACCATTACTAAAGCAGCTGACCTACAAGCTCCCCTCAATGAATTTCTTGAAGGAAATCCTTTCAATAATAAGAAGCTCGAATGGACTACTGTGCAAGAATATGCTTTCAAACATCTCAAGACTGCTTCATCGAATGCAACTTTATTAGCTCATCCTTTGCCTACAAGTTCATTGTGTCTCATGGTTGATGCATCAGATTTTTCAATTGGAGCCGCAATTCATCAACTACGAAATCAATCATGGGAACCGTTAATATTTTTTTAAAACACTGACAAATACTCGAAGGAAATACAGTACTTATGATCGAGAATTGTTAGCTATATATGAGTCAATCAAATATTTTTGTTACATGTTAGAAAGGAAAGAATTTGTCGTTTTCACCGACCATGAACCCATAACATTTGCCTTCAACAAAAATTCAGATACTTTGTCTCCCAGACAGACCAGGTATCTGGAGTACATTGGCCAGTTTTCAACTGATATCCGTCACATTTCTGGTTCAGATAACGTGGTAGCAGATGCATTATCACGGATATCCAGTATTAGTTTTCAAGATTTCACTGACTGGGAGAAGGAACAATCAGATGATGATGAGTTAAGAACATTCTTGAATGGAAAAACCGCTCTGAATTTGAAGAAAATCGAAATTCCGCATTCGAATACTCAAATATTCTGCGATGTTTCAGGAGACAAGATTCGACCATATGTTTCTAATAATCTAAGACGTTCAATTTTCAAGAAAATTCACGATATGTCTCATCCTGGAGTAAGATCTTCAGTCAAGCTCATCAAGAGCAAATATGTTTGGCCTAAAATGGAGAAAGATATTCGAAATTGGTCACAGTGTTGCATATTATGTCAGAAATCAAAAATCACTCGACATACTGTATCACCTGTAGGAAAATTTGTAGTTCCTGAGAGTTGTTTTGAGCATGTAAATATAGACATTATTGGTTCCCTTCCTCCCTCGCATGGTTTCACCTACTGCCTCACCTGTATTGTTCGTTTTTCGAGATGGACAGAAGCTTTTCCAATAGATAATATCACAGCGGAAACTGTAGCGAAGACATTTTATAATGTTCGGAAATCGAGGTTTGGAGTTCCGTCCAGGGTAACCACCGACCAAGGAAGACAATTTGAATCTTCCCTATTTGAAGAATTTGCTAGGCTATTGGGATTTCAGCACATAAGAACGACTGCCAATCACCCTTGTTCATCTGGAATGATCGAAAGATTTCATAGAACTCTAAAAGCAGCCCTAAGATGTCATAATAACGAGAGCTGGACGAATGTTCGTCCAACCATTTTACTAGGAATCCGTGTTATGCCTAAGGAAGAATTGAGAGCTTCTAGTGCAGAACTGCTCTATGGATCAGCACTGAGAATTCCAGGAGAAATGGTAGTACCAAATTGTGAAAGGAACGTTATGAACCCAAAATTCTTGAAAGATCTTCGAAATTCAATGGCTGATTTCAAAGTAATCCCTGGTACTAATCATCATATTCAAGAATCTACAGAGCACAAATTTCGTTTTCGTCAGGACCGATTCAGTTAAAAAGCCTCTAGAACAACCCTATTCTGGTCCATATAATGTATTAGAGAAAACAGATAAATACTTCAAGCTATCGATGAGAGGTGAAGAGAAAAACGTTTCCATTGATCGACTCAAGCCCGCGTTTTCAGAGAACGACA